AAGTAGAAACGTAACCTTACTAATACAATCTGTTTGGTGCGCCAAGTAGAGACGTAACCTTACTAAAACAATCTGTTTGTTACGTCAAGTAGAGACGTACCCTTACTATCGATCTGTTTGGTAGTCACATACATACGTAGCCTTACTAATACAATCTGTTTGTAGTCAAGTAGAGAAGTAACCTTACTAAAACAATCTGTTTGGTTGTCAAGTAGGGACGTAATCTTACTAAATAATTTGTTTGGTAGTCAAATTCAGACGTAACTTTACTAAAACAATCTATTTGGTACGTCAAGTAGAGACACAACCTTACCAAAACAATCTGTTTAACACAAGTATATGTTAGAGTTTATTTGAATTTCGCGTAAGGCTACACCAGGGCTATCTGCGCTAGCCGTCCCTAATTTAGCAGTAGAAGACTAGAGGGAAGGCAGCTAGTCATCACCACCCATCGCCAGTTCTTGGGCTACTTTTTTACCAACGAATAGTGGGATTGACTGTTACATTATAACGTCCCCATGGCTGAATGGGCGAGCATTTTTGGTGGGACGGGGATTCAAACCCGCAGATTGCGATTCGAGCGCCCTAACCACCTGGCCATGCCGGGCCAGTTGTTAAAGAGATTTAGTTAGTTACACTAGTTTGAATACTGAGTTATTTTAAAAGCGCAGCAGAAAATTCAGGAGTTCATGTGGGAGATGAATTTGGAGCCAAGAATGGAAGTTGAGGATGACATATAAATATACTGTTATATTTAGCTCTTAGATAAGAACTAAGAGGGTTCAGAAATATCACACAAAGTTGAATTTTCCATAGGAACTAAGAAGATATAGAAATATCAGGTGAAGTTGTCGTGGTAAGAACGATACAGAAAAGGTCAGTTTTGGCTCTCTCCCGATTACAGTATGTTTTTATTCAAGATTACTTATATTCTGTCATGATAACAGGACGAATAGACTGACCCTGGGACGGTGGCGTGAAGAACGTGGTTTTAAACAAATTATCCATGTCACGTTCGAACTTATAATCTACCACCTTGACCCTCGCTTTATCCGTTCTTTTTTTCTTTCTCGTGTCCTACTTTTTCTTCTCGTCAGGGTCTAGAAAACCACGACAAAAATGTTTATATCAAATGCCTTTTCTTTTTGATAAATCGCCTATGTTTTTTTCATACTCCCCTTTTTTTAAAATAATGTAAGCCTACTTTTGAAGTACTAGAACCTAATGATGGGTAAAACTTCCAGCACTGTCTTTTGACCTATTAAAACTTACGATATTGTAGGAAAATAAAAACACTGGAACAACTTGTGAAATGTATATCGTTCTTATCTATTTCTAACGTACTTTTCTAGGTGTACCCAGCTTGCTTGGAGTAACACTGTGCAGCATAAGATGACATGCAATGTAAATGAGCCACGCCCACAAAGTCATACACAAAGAGTGATATCCAGAAACTGGACTGCGCACTAACAAACGTGCTTGGATAGGACTCCATAATTGTAGGGAGGAGATCCCGTGCTTTAGCCGGCGCTAAGCTCCTCTAACGTGTAAATGAAACGTTTAAATAACTGTTTATCGGTAGGTTAAGTAATGTGGGAGAGATAAGTTTCACAAATATAGCAAAAACTGTAGCAATTTAGAGTTTCCACCTTCTTCTCGTGTTTACAGCTCGTATTTGGTGAAGGAACAATATGTAAGAAGAATCACTGTTTTATTACTTTTATTACCACAATCTCTTCTTCAGTGTTTTTCATTATGGTGTTAACGTTATAATCTAACGAAAGTTTTCCACACCAGGACGATTATGAACAAGACAGAATGAAATCAAACAAAGAATTTTGGGCAAAACTCGGGTGTCACAAATAAGGATTTAGTAAGGACAAATATGTAATTAGAATGGCACGTACGTACGAGCGTTTGACACTTTTTAATAATGATCTGTTATGATTCAGAAGTTTCATAAAATTCACAACTATGAGTTAGACGAAAAGTCAATACTAGTTTTAATTTCACCATGATCTTTATACCAGTTTATCAAAGAAAAAGTCCAGAGTTGGATGGAAAATGGAGACACAGCTCAATAGTCCACTACCTATCGGCATATATATAAAATTATTGCTTTTTATTTCAAAATATTATGTCAGTATTAAAAAATACGAAACCCAATCACGTTACGAAGTTGCGTTCTTTCACCAAGAATGGACTGAGAAATGAGAATAAATAAGAAATAAAAGGAAACCCTTGATCATGTGATTTTTTATGCTCTGATAATTATATACGAGTTTTTCTACATCGTGGATATAATTCTTTTTGTATCAGTACAATTAAACTTTACCTAAACCATAGTCTTCAAAATTGTTTGAATTTTTTTATCCTAAAGTAACAGAACACTTACATACAAGTAGGCCTAAATTTAAACAAATATGGTCCTAAACATCCAGCACTATTTCCATAAAACCTGTTTTTTATTTCATCCACCCACACAGAGAAAAGCACAGAGCACCATTTT